GGATCATTGGCACTGTTTGTGGTCTGGGGATTTTCTCTCTCACATTATCACTATTGCTTTGCTGATGGTTTTTGTCTGGGGCAGTGAATGGCGCTACTTTGATTTGCTTTGTTTTCTGCTTTGGATTGGAGGGTGTCAGTGTCATTCTAGCAACAGAGAATTGGGGAATTTACCCCCTGCATGTAGCATATTGCTTCAAGGGTGCTGTGGCATGAGGGACTGCAGAGTTTCTCTCTCTTCTCTTAGTCAATGATACAGCTGGACTGTGACTCTCCATGCAAACTTGGAGACAAGCCCTGCCAGCTCCAGGGAGAGGTTTCTGGGAGGGTCTCAGATGGAACTGAGCTGCTCTGGCAGATTTGTGGTTTTGGTGTGCATGGTGTGGGGTGGGTGGGATGGGGAGGAGACTGAGCCACATGGGAGCAGTAAGCTCTGAGAAGTGCATTGGTCCCATCACTGATACCAGCAAATATTCAGCAAATATTTGTGCTTGAAATGGAGGAACAAGCGAGGGCTGGAAGGGAAATGTGTTCAGTGGTGCTTCAGTACTGCTGTCTGCACAGAGGCAGCAGAGGAATAGCTCTTGTTGTGGTTTTCCCTGTGGAAAAAGGCCTGGATATGGGGGCACTTGGCACTGCCTCCCTTGAGAGATGCAGGGAGTCTCATCAGGACCCTCTCAGGACACTGCAGTCCCAGAACCATCCTGGCAGCAGATAGAGGGCTGGTCTGTCCAGGGCTGAGCTCATCAGAGATCCATGCCCCAGCAATCTCGAGTGGTCTGAGCAGCCACAGGGTTTGGAGAGAAGCAAAAGCAGCAGCTTGCTGAGGAGGCATGGCATGGGTCACACACAGCTCCACAGCCTCTGGTTCCCTGGGACTTTTGCTTCTTAAGGAGAGCTGCCTTTGGGTCTCAGAGGTGCAGTGGTTGATAAACACTGTGCATAGGGAAGAAAGGTGCTTCCTGCAAGTATCTGGACACTCAGAGACATAACCTATACCCCTTTCCTTAATTAGGCATTGCCTTAATTAGGTAATCTCACTGCTGGGCAGCTCTTCATTTGCTGGGGTGACTGTGGATGCAGCTGGAAGTGATATGCTGTTTCTCAACATCTCTATTATAAATTTTAATGGCATTTTTGGTGACTTCTGAGCTGTCTTGTAGCACCATTCATTTTATAATTACATAATGCCTCAGCCACATATCTGAGGGTGAGGAGTAAACCACCTCTGAACTACCAAACACTATAAAAACCTGGCAAGTAGAAAAGCCATATGTGCATCTAATACAGAGACTGCATGCTTGACAAAACCAGACAGGGAGAGGAAACTGAGAGTGACACTTGCCTCAAAACACACCATGTTGCTTTTTGCCTATATGGACAATTTCTGCTTCTTAGGATGTAACCAGATTAACCTGGCTATTATTGTCTGCCAGGGTGCTGAGTCAGTGGTGTTCCTATGTCTGTGAAAATGTCAGCTGTAGGGAACAGGAAGGGCATGGGTCTCTGTAGTGGTGGGGGGCCTCAGATTAGCTGAGTTGGAGTGCTGGGGTGCAGCTGTGGGAATTCTTGCCTACAGTTTCCAAATGCATCTGTTCTAGGCATGAGGAATCTCCTCCATCTGTGCAATTTTACTTACTGCTTTAACACTGACTTCTTGAGATTTTTCCTGCCCTACTTCCAACCTCCTATCTCAAATCTCTGGTTCCCTCTCCTCAGCATTTCACCTCAATGGATTTCCTGCTGGGTAAAATACACATCCTCCTCTTCCTTCCCATTCCCTCCCTTCTCCCATTGTTGGCAGTTTTCCAATATAGCAACCTTGACCTTTTCTCCAATTCCTTCAATTTCCTCCTCTTCAGCTAGCACTGTCGGTGAACTCTGCCCATTTTCCTCTCCTCCATCCTCCAAAGGCTGGCCATGCATCCTGCTGGCCATGCATCCTGCTGGATATGTTGTCACTTCTTTCCTTGCTGACTGCAGTCCCCTCAGTTCTGGCCTCCTTTATGTGTGCCTCTGTGTGCAGGAAGCTGATAGGAGTTTGGCTGAAGCTTTTTTTTCTTTTTTGTGAACCACATGAAATCAGTGGGAATGAAGCACCAACCCCTTTAGAAATGCTGACTCTTTGTGTGTCTGGGAAGAGCCTTCCCTCAGGGTGCAGCTGCACAAGAAGCACTGCCTGCAGTGATGAACATGGAGCCATGTGTGTGTTTTTACTGGGTGCATCCCAAAGCTGCAGAGACTGGGGATGTTGGTGGGATCCTTGCTTGCTCCCCCACCTTCTTCATATGAGTGTTTGACCTTTTGTATCACCAGCCTGGCATGGTGTGGAGGTCTCTGTGGCCTGGGGCAATGGCTCAGTGGTGTGGCCATGGTGCACTCACCATTGCTGATGATGGCACTCAGCAATTTGGACATCTCTTTCTGCTGGCTGGGGCTTTTGACTCTAAGGATCAAGGATCATGCCTATTTTAGAAATGAAGCAATCTGTCACTTTGACTACAAGTTTTGGGTCTACCTCTTTTGCTGCATTTCTCATTCTTTAAAGTTATTTTTTCCCTTCTTCAGTCAAATTCTCTACCTGTGTTCAGGGGCCACTCAGTTGAGTGCCTTTGTCTGAGAAAGAAGGTGACCCTGTAAATGCTTTTTGTGTGATATAATATATCCAGCATATCACTGTGTTTGCAAGAATGCTTTTATCTTGTCAGTATGGTGATTGGTTAAGTATGATCAAGCTCTTTGGAAAAAACATTTCTCTCTAATCATTTTTCTTTCATTTGTATTCTGTAATAATTTTGAGAGTGATTGTGATCATGGAAGTGCTTTGTAGCTCATTAGTGCCTTCAGTTATGTGAGGAGAAGCTGCTGCTGTCTTTCATATGGGAGACCTCGTGATCTACTCTAGTTTGGCCTGGAAACTGTATTTAAAATGTTGTCAGCAGCAATATCCAGCAGAATTCCTTTTAACTTTGTCATATTACTCTCATCTCCAAAGAAATATTAGATGTTAGACCTTTGTTTGGCATTTCCTGTGCTAGTTCTGAAGAGGGCCGTGGGAGAAGATCCATATCAAGTATGACCACAAATTCCTTAATATTCTTCTTTCTTTTGTCATGAAGCTGCTAATTGATGGAAAGAAAGCATCTTTCATGATGAAGCCAGAGTAATTATACATGCATTGGTGTGTCTGACCTCTGTGGGAAGCTGATTCTGGAAGGACTCTGTTGCATTTACCAGCCCTGTGCAAAATTTGTGCCCCATTTTGCAGCTGTAGACTGGCTGGATCCAGTGCCTAGCGCTCCCCCCCAGCCTCTGGCTTTTCTGTCTGATGTTATGGATGGCGTGGCTGAGGATGTGTCCCCAGGTGGCCAAGCTGTAACACTCTGCCACTAGGTCCAGAACCATGCCCATCCTGTGAGGGCCTCTGCTTTTTCAGTCTGTTTAATAATCTTGGAGAATTTTTGTGGGGTTAGTAAGTCTAACTTTCCTTTTTCTGAGATGCCACCCCTCTCCAAAGGAAGTTTGTGTATCACCTGCAACTCAGTGCATGAAGGTTGCTATTATGAATAAATGGCTGTTGGTCATGGCATGGGTTAGGCACAGATCAATGGCCAGGGCTTGAAAGGCTCTGTGCCTTTTTGTCTGTAGCCTAATGGATTAGCCCACCTTTTCCTTTAATACATGTACATGAATGCTTTTAAGAGTAAAAAGGTTTAAACAACATAAAACATTTGGGAGAATGAGAGCTGAGAAAGTGCCCCTCCATTGGTTCTCCTTTACTGTAAAAGTGGTGAGGCTCTGGCACAGGTTGCCCAGAGAAGCTGTGGATGCTCCATCCCTGGAAGTGTTCAAGGCCAGGCTGGGTGGGGCTTTAGGCAACCCAATTTAGTGGGAGGTTCCCTGCCCATGGCAGGGGGTTGGAACTAGAGGATCTGTAGGGTCCCTTCCAACCCAAACCATTCTGTGTTTCTATTTTTCTGTGATTCTTCTGGCACAACTAACTTGCTGGCCTTGGCATGGAAGGCGAAGTGATGAGACAAAGCATAAAAATGCTGTGTTTTTAAATCAGGGAAGAGGTGAATGGAGTGCCTCGTGTGTTGTGTGTGAAAGCATTCCTGTGATGGTGCTACATGCTGCTCTGCCATCCCAATTTGCTTTCAGAGGCCCCCAAGTATAATAATTCTTTGTGTTTCCTAAAGGATATGAAGGCTAAATACAAGTTCGGTCAATGATTTCATTGTTGATTTCTCCTGGAGTTACAAAGCAAGGCGAAAATATTAGGGACAGGCAGGGTGCATCTCACTGAATAAAGATATTGTGTCTCTCATAATTCAAGCTGGATGCCTGTAGAAAAAGGAAAGCCCTATGAAAAATGCTTACAAGGCTGGTTGGACAGTAGAAATCTTTTGTAAAATGTAATTTCGGCATCTTTCCCACTGGAATCCTTCATGCAGGAGGACTGGCCAGCATTTTGGAAACAAACCCAGCCAACATTAGGTTTGGACATCTGCTTGTTTTAAGGTTGCTTTCACAATTTTCTCTGTAGCTGAAGATGGGTACTTGATGTCAATGTGAAAGCACTGCCAGAGAAGCAATGAAGTTATGCCAACTGTTTCTTTCATGAGCACAGCTTCTTAGAAATGACTGTTTGATGCTGAAAATCATCTTGTTTGCATTGCTCCCGTGTCTCGAAGGATGAGCGCTGTTTGATCTTGTCCTTGTGGAAAGCTGTCCTAAATGAACAAAAAATGTTTCTTGAAGTGATTTAGATTTAAAGCAGGGTGATCTCCTGCCTGAGCACATCTAGACTGAGTGCTGGTACTTAAATGGTATCAAATGAAGTGACTTGTGAGGAAGGAGTAGTGGTGTCTTTTGTCTCTGAAGGTGGCTGAAGGGATTAAATTTGAGACAAGCTAGTGGTCAAATTTTCTGAATATTTTCTTCATCCTTGCTTCAATCCCCCAAAGGGGAATTAACACATATCTTATCTGATTTCCACAGGGACCAGCTCGCATGACATCTGACCTTGCATCTTCCCCTGCAGCAGGGTATGTCCCTGTGGGTCAGAAGCCAGAGGCTGTGGTGCATGCTATGAAGGTAAGGCTGTGTGGGGCACTGAGGTGTCAGAGCTGGGCATTGCCTCTGCTTGTGGGAGCAGCTGAACACAGAAAGTTGATACACAGCCAGGATATTGGTAACCAGCACCTGTATCATGATGAATAAGCATTGCTTCTTAAAATAGTTGCAGAGCTAAGCAAGATTATGCACAGCTATTTTTTGGGGGCTGGAAACCTCCAATAAAAGCTGCTGATGCTGAAGGTGTTGGTTGCCCTTTGTGTTCATCAGTCCTGTGTGTGCTGGGGTGACAGTGGTGACTGAAATGCTGTTTTCAAAAGGGACACAAAAACTGCATTTCCTCATATATTTTGTTGATGAAAATCCTGCAGCAGTCTTCAAAGGAGAAAGATTTTATTTTCTGAAAATATACAACAGACAAATAGTGGCATCCTACCCATGCAGGATGTGCATCATCAGTAGGGATTAAGTCAGGACCATTGACAGTGGGACCATGGAAGACTGGTAGGTGAGTTAAAGGAGAAAACTTGCACTGTGATTTCACAGCAGCTTTCAGGTTCTAGTGACCATCCATTAGCAGAAAAAGTGTAATTCCCCAGTGTTACATGTTTAACTAGTTAAGCAAGATACTTCTGAGTATCTGAGAGACACAGAAGCACAAATCCTTTACAAGGTGCAATAAGGATGGCTGGAAAGTCTCTTAATTAAATTAGTCTTTAGTTGAAATATAGTGATTTATAGATTTGGATCTGCTTGAGCTGAAGAATTTTGTACAGGGTTAAAGAAGAATTTTGTACAGGGTTACATCAAGTCAAAGGGGGATTCCTGGATGGCTGCTCTGGAGCTCAGATCTCTATGGTCCTAGCTGGAAAAAAGGTCCAGCAGTGGCATCACCAGCTTGGATGATCTTAAACCTGGAGACAGATGCTTACAAAGCTCTTTTTGGTGTACCTTTCCACATCTGACAGATAAATAAATGGCACAGATGTTGCTTGTGGTTATGATCCACAAATTCTCTACATTTTATAATTTTTAGTGTTTCTAATTTAGTATATCATGCCTGTCCAGGGTCTCTTGGCTCCAGGCCAGATGTTGTGATGGTGGTGGTGGTAAAACCAACAAATGTCAGGAGAAGCAGTAGTGTGGCTGGCAAGGATATTGGCTCCACTGGGCAGTTGCCAGATCCCAGGAGGATACTGAATGCCACTATTTCTCAAGTAGTTATTAAAGGCAAGACAAGTTTGATTTCATTTGGATCTAATTAGAATTTAAATTATAAATGATCCTTCAAATTGAAAATCTTGATTTTTCAGCTTTCTTGAGACTTTATACTTTCAAATTGTGTAACTTCTATTGATTGATTGTATAACTTCTTAAGAGGAGGATGTCCAGCATGGTCAAGGATTAAGAAATACCTTTAGTACAGTTTTTGTTTGTTCCCAAAGGAGCTGACCACACAAGTGGCAGTTCACTTGCTGCCATATATTTGTCCTGTGTTTTCCAACAAGTCTCTTTGCTTGTTGTGAATGGCTCTGTGCTATGAGAAAGTTCCATCTTCTACTATGCTGCAATGTGCTTGTGGGTGACATTTCTCCTGTGTGTGTGTGTATAGATAAATACATATATTTATATATATATATATATACATACAGATGGATCTGCTGAACTGTTGCCTTGCAGCATGTTGCAAACCCATGTGAACCTTTGTTTTTCTGTCACTTTGTGTTGATTTGTCTTTGATTGCATTTGATCCTCAAAGCTCTGATGCAGTCCAGACTACTGCTGTTGGCTTTTTCTTTCCAATCTCTGGCATTCATACCTTTCTGCTCCTCTCTTCATTGCATTTGGCAAGGTGGTGGTGAGGGATAGTATTAAGTAGAGTTGGTAGTGTTTTTAAATTACAAGATCAAATACTTCTAAATTGATTATGATCATATTCTGGGGAGCAATTAGTTTCCTATTTGCTTTAGGGATTGCAGGGCTGAATTTCTCACTAAGGGCAAGAAACATTAATGGTTTTAAGATGTGGTTTGATAAGCATATGAAAAGGATTGAAAATTAATAAGGACGATTCATGGAAACTGGAAATTAAGTTTGGAAGGTCTGGTGCAATGATTCATTTAAAGGAATTGAAAGGAACTTGGATAGCTGGGTGTTTGCACATATTAGTTATCCCTCTGCTTCAGAGCTTTGTGGATTCCTAGGAAGGGCTAGAAGAAATTCAGGAGAAATTCTCTTCTGCGTCATCATAGTTTGGCTGGTGAGGTGCATTTGTCTGTCTCCAAAACCCTGGAATCTGCCATGGCTGGAGTCAGGGAGCAGGTACAGAGCAGTCACATCTCATGGGGCATAAATGATCTCACATGATGTGTCCTGCTCACTCACTCAGGGTTAAAAATCTTCTCACATTTGAGGTGAGGAGGAAATTCTCCTGTAGGTCAGCATGGCATGGAGGGATGAGGAGGTGCCTGTTTTTCTATCCTGTGGCTCATTTCCAAGGATCATCTGAAAAATGAAAGCCTGAGGAATCTGGTCATGGTCTCAATCTCTCCTCTCCCTTGTGGCACAGTGAAATAGCTGGTAGGTGTTGGTCTCCAGCTGCAGACCTTTTTTGGCCACATCATGCTGTAGCAGATGGAGTAGGTGTTATTTGCCCCCTGCAGAACTGGGCAGCTTTTCCAGTGCCAGCCCCTGCATGTGGGAAGCTGGATGCAGCTGCTGCCTTGCACCCTCACCTCCTGTGACACAGATCATGACTCTCTCTTGAGAAGAGAGCAGCTTACAAATGAGAACTTTGTGCTTTGGCTGTACCACAGTAGATATTGGGTAGAGAAGGGGAGTCCTTATGGCTCAGCAGGCCAGCTCCTTGCTGCAAGAAAAGGCAAGGAGAGATGGAAAGGGGAAAATGATCAAGGGGATGGAGCACCTCTCCTATGAAGAAAGGCTGGGGGTGTTGGGGTTGTTCAGCCTGGAAAAGAGGAGGCTCCAGAGGCACCTTGTAGCACCTTCCAGTCCTGTAAAGGGGGCTCAGAAAAAAGAGGGAGAGGGACTTCTGTGTCACATAGTGACAGGACAAGAGGCAATGGTTTTAAACTGAAAGAAGGCAGGTCTAGATTATCTGTTGGGAAGGAATTCTTTGCTGTGAGGGCAGTGAGGCACTGGCACAGGTTGCCCAGAGAAGCTGTGGATGCTCCATCCCTGGAAGTGTTCAAGGCCAGGCTGGCTGGGGCTCTGAGCAGCCTGCTCTAATGAATGGCATCCATGCCAAACCATTCTATTATTCCATGATTCTGTGCAGTTGGCTCCACTTGTCTTGTGGAACACCTGCATGCAAGCCTGTCCACAAGTGGTGAGGCTGCAAGGATGTGGCTCTGTGCCCAAGCAAAAGCCACTGAGGGATTGTCCACTCCACATAGATCTGCAGGGCTTCTGGACTGCCCCTGTCTGCACCCACATGCATAGTATCCCCTGGGCTTTTTCCTTGGGATTTTCTGCCAGCTAAATTCTATCTGTGTGGCTGAAGTACTGCCTGCAATTCAGCACAGGTTCTTCCTTGAGCATGTTTAGGATTTTCTTTATTTTTCCTTCTGAAATAGTTTTGTTTGTTTGCACCTACTAAATAAGGAGCAAGATGACAGGTTGGCACTCCTAACAGCTGTTTTTGCTAGCAAGAATAAAAGGTACATATGCTACAGCTCAGGATCTCACTGAACATCAAAGCACTTTTCTTAGGAACTGAGCAAACCTGCTAAAGACGTGGGGAGGTGATGAGGAGACAAATGTAGAAGAATGACATTTAGCCTATAACCCAGCTGCCCCCACAGCAGCAGCCTGGACCTCTTCCATGCACACAGAGCTATCAAGCAGGTGACCATCACTCCCACTAATTGTGGATAAGACAGGATTTGGCCTTCCAAAACTAGGGAAAATCCTAGCAGGGCATATGGACTGTTCCCTTGCTGAAGCAGGATGTTTCCCAGTGCTGTGTCCAGCTGACTTATGAAGCAACAAAATTAGTGAGGTTTGCACAATTTGGGAAGTATCCCTCAATCTCAGTGTGCTTTGTGTTGCAGAAATGAATACCTCAATTTTCAGCTTCCTTTCCAAAGCTTTACTACTGTCATTCAGACTCTTTAGGGGTGTTTTTTTGATTGAATATTTGTTTTTAAAATATATTTGGCCATATGGGGTCAGTACAGCAAGTCAGAAGGGATGTGGCATTAGGTGACTTTGAGGTGACACTGCCTGGCTCACAGACATCAGTGTGGTCTCAAAGAGCACTTGAGGTGTTCCTCAGTTTATGTATCAGCAGGGAAAATGCCAGACATGCCAGCATGCCCACTGAGAGCAAGGTGAGAGTTGTTTTTGGGAAGTAACATCCCTGTGCAGGAGAGCAGCATTTCCCAGTCCAGCCCCATGCAGAGCAGAGCAGGCTGCTCTCACTGGCTGCCATTTTACCCAGGGAGATCACAAAGGGCTGCTGTGTCAGCAAAGGGCCCAGTGCTGTCAGTGCAGCTTGATGAAAAGCAAAAAGGAGGGGATGGCATGAGCCACTTAGAGCCTGGGGTGCATTTGTGTTTCCTTTGGGCTCCTGGGCTGAGAGGTGGCAGAAAGCACAGAAGGACATAGCCCAGTTTCTTAGACCCACACTGAATGCACAGTCCTTGAACTTCAGCTGCTCCAGAGAGAGCTGATGTGGAGGCATGTTTGTATTCCCCAGTGGTGTAACTGGAGGAACATTAACCTGGTCCTTCTAAACAGCTGAGGAGGCATCTGGCAGGATCTGAGAATAGCTGGGGCTGGGTCAGCACTAAGGAAAGGCCTTCCTGGCTTTCTTCAGGAGGTTATTCCACTCTTCAGAGTGTATTTTCTTCCAACATGCCTTTCCTGGATAGGCTGTTGCATTTTATCACTATGAATCCCATTTTCCCACACCCAAGATGCTAACACTTCTTTACAAAGTGCCTAGCCAGACTGGGTTGAGCCTGGGAAGCAGGATGATTTCCAGGGTAAATGAGATTCAGAAATTAAATACAAACATAACTTCCATCTGATCATCTTTCAGCTCCAGCTCTGGCTGGGTAACACTATTAAAAGACATTTCCACGGAAGGAAATAACATGCTGTGCCACCTTTTCACACCTCCTGGGCTAAGGAATGTGGGTTTAGTTTGAGCACAAGTTGTAGAAAAACAGTTTATTTTGGTCCACTGAGACTCCTGTGCCTGCAAGATGGATGGCTGTTGAGAGCAGAGGCTGGGGCTGATGAGATCTCTAACCAAGCTCCCCCATGGCTTCCTTGACACTTGCCCTGTGGACACAGGCAGTGTTTGGCTGCCAGGCAGGCAGCCCTGGTGCTCCATGGCAGGCTGTGCTCCTGCAGGCTGCTGCCTGTGCAGCCAGCTTTGGAAGCACACAGGCTCCAGACAGGCAAGTTCAATGTGTGAGTCCAGCTGGATCAATAATTAATTCCCTCCTCTTTAGCAGAAAATAGATGCTCTCTTTGTCAGCACGTACATGCTTTTTGCATCCCTCTTGCCCTTCCTCTCTTAGAATGGATATGGATAATTCCTGTCTGTGCAAAGACTGGTCCCAACTAGGCTGCAGGCCCTAGGAGAATGACCTATTTTTGTTTGTAACTCATTTTGAGTGCAGCAGGATTGCTGTGCTGAAGCAGACCTGGGGATAATCTTCCCTGGTATCCCATTTTGTGGAGCAGCCAGTGCTGTTCATACCTCAGCAAAGGCTGAAGCCCATTCTAGCACAGCACCTGGCTCTGCACCTCCCTGGGATGTATAGGAATATTTATTCACACAGCTACACCTTGTACACCTTTCTCTGTGTGTGGATGCACCGTGGTGAACGAGACCATGTGCTGTTTGATGATATTGGGTGGTTGCAGGATCTCTGACCCTGCACACTGAGCTGACCAGCTGGCTCAGCAATGGTAAAGCCCTGGGTGAGGTGTGCAAATCAGCACAGAGAGTAAAAGAGTAAAACCTGTGCCCACCTTGTGGGATGTGCCTGTCTGGAGGAACTGTCAGAATGCATGTGGGTGTGACAGAGGGGTATCCCTGGGCTCAGTGTTTCCAGCTAGGAATGAAGGCTGCCTTTAGCCCCAGGCTAAAGTCTCCTTTTGTGATCAAAGGACCAGCTGGCCACAGCTGGGCACTTTCTCTCTGAAGGAGCTCTGTGGGGGTGGCCAGGACAGTGGGATGTGGCAGGCCAGGGCTGGCTCCCTCTTGAGCTGCTCTAGAGGTTTGGGGTGTGGGCAGCACATGGTGAGGGACAACATCATGCTTGTTGGGGTGCTGCCTGGAAGGTGGGACTACCAGCAGCCTTCCTGGAAGAGAGGCACTTGTGGGCACAAGCAACCTGCTGCCAATGGTCCCCAGGACTGGCAGCAGCCACACCATGAAGGTGGTGGGACAGAGGCAGGACATGGCTGGGGGAACAGGGAGGATGGAGGTGCCCAGCTTGATGTCACATTTGTCTTTGCTTGTCTCGAGGCTTTGTGAATCCTGCCAATTTAAATACTTGTTAATGATGTTCTTAGGGACACAAATAACTGTTTGAGGATCATAATGGTTTTGTAATGATGTTTTTTTGTAGGTCCTTGAGGTCCATGAAAATTTGGACAGGCAAATGCAAGACAACTATGAAGAAGACCTAAGTGAAAAGGAGAAGGCAATTGTTCGTGAAATGTGCAATGTAAGAACTTCTCCCAGCAGCTCTTGGGGTTCCTTTTGTTGTCTTTTGTTAAAAGTATGGAGGAACAGGGATCTGCTGCATGTAAGCCTTGTGAGGTCCATAGGCACAAGGGAAGAGTGGAGGCTCTGCTGACCACTGTTTTGGGTAATCTGAGTGCCTAGCTCACTGCACAGAGCAGCCTTTGCTCAGTAGATAATTCCCACTTTGCTGCCTCCCTGACTAGGAGAGCCCTGTTGGCAATTGTCTCCACCTGGGCCCTTAAGGACTCGGTTTGGCTTAAGCAACAATTGCCTGCCTTGTTTAAAGCTGTACAGCTTGAACAGGTTTGAGCCCAAACCATGTGGTAATGTCAGAGGGAGAATCTTGTCTGGGGCCATTGAACAGCATCATGATATGTGGGGTGCTTTAACACTGCTGATGTTTTGGGCAACCACACTGTTAACTGAGCTGGCCACGTCCCATATGGTGAGTGCTTGTACCCAGGCTCTGCTCTGCAGTGGCTGCTTCATGGCATTGCCTCCAGCCTCAGAGCACCTTGGCCATGCTCTGGCTTTGAACAGAAAGTCTGAGATTCCTGCTGGAACACAGCCTGAGCCCCCTGTCACCTGCAGTTGGGGATGTGCTGTTCAATTGCCCAGACTAGGGAGGAGAATGCCTATGAGCCTTCTTTTCTTTGAAGTCCACATAAGAGGTGGACCCAGGTGGCATCCTTATCCTTTAGTGCCTTCCAGCAGTTGAGAGGGGCCTGATGCTCTCTTTAAATTCTGAAACTCACCTTAACCCTAAAAGGAGGTGTGAACACAAGTGCACCTTGCTAAGCTAAATCACTGTGAGCATCCTCGGTGGGGGCTGAGGCACTTCACTTTGGTTGCTGGATCCTTATTAACAAAGCAAAGAGTAAATTAAAGCCTGCTTTTTAAGATATTTTGTCTGCTTAAATTCCCTTGTAGCTATGCTGAGGGAAAGGTAAAATACTGTAACTTCATCCTCGCAAACTGACTCATCTCTATTTGTCTATCATCAGCTGTTTTCTCTTTAAATATTCATTCCATGTAGATTCAAGGCAGCTATAAAGTTTTGTGCAGTTTATTTTTTATTTAAATAGTGGCCCTAGAGTGATAAAATGTATGTTTTTAGAAAGTCATGTATATATAATTTTAATCATTATCTTTTTCATTATCTTTTCTGTTCATGGTAGCATCTTTTCTGTAAGCATGGCAGGGTTGACCTACCATTGAACTTATGTTCTGAATCTAGTGTATTTGTTTTATGCTATTACCCCAGGCAAAAACGGTTCTAATTTCAAGAGGGACTAATTAGAAAAATGCATCAATGGTTTCTTTGCTTGGAAACTAGTGCAAAGATGCCATCCAGTGTCTCTGCTGAGAACTGCAGCCCAGCTCTAGGAAAGGGCTGGTTTTGGCTTTCAGACTGCAATTAAAACAATATTGCTATTCCTCAGTGGCTTTGCTGTTTGGACTTTAATTCCTGTCTTTCTCTCCCCAAACCCTTTATTTTTTCTTGCAGGTTGTCTGGCGAAAGCTGGGTGATGCTGCGAGCTCCAAACCCTCCATCAGGCAACATCTGTCAGGAAACCAGTTCAAGGGTCCCTTGTAGGAACACTGTCCTGACAACTGGAAGTGATGGATTCTGTGAAGACTAAAGAGGCAGAGCTCAGTGTTTCTGGCTGCCTGTTCTTTGGGAGTTGGGGTTGAGGTTTTTCAGGGTTTCCTTTTTTCTTCTTTTTTTTTTTTTTTTTTTTTTTGTAACAATAGTGTAAATATGGCAGCTAAAGGCCTGATTTCCAGGCTGTGGTGCTCTGGAGCTACTGTTCACTGGGTAACCATCCAATAATGCCAGACGTGCATCATTTTTATTGTAGTTCAAACCTGCTTTGTTGTAATGGTCTGTTTGTAGAATTAACTAACACAAGAGAATTTCTAAGAGGAACAAGAAGAACCCTTAACCAGCGGAGAAGTCACCATTTGTATTGCTCCTGTCCACCTGCTTGTCTGTGATTCATAGCCAGGTTAGTGGCTCCAGGCAGCCAAGGAAAATGCAATTCCAATTCCTTGGCTTGCTGCCTGCCAAGTTCATGAGCTGCTAACACTTTTTTTGGAGGTCCTTATTTTGAAGAATGACATGCAACTGTTTTCACAAGGCTCTGTGTAAAATACTGAGTGGCAAGCTAGAAACACTTGTACTGCCCTACATTGTATGGTGGTATTCGTCACACAAGTGTACATAAAGTCTAAGACTCTATATCAGGTGGTAATGAACAATTTTTCATGATCAAATGACACAAGATTTCTGCTGATATAATGTGAATGAAGTCACTTAGCCACACAACAGTATTCCCTACAAAACGGCAACACTTTTCTTGTAAAGCTTTCACTATGAAATAATTCAGCAGAAACTGCTATCCTGACAGTGCTTATGGCTTTCACAGGATCTTCAAAAGCAGCTCATCTTTCACATAAGGAAGATTTGGGGTGGGTTTTTTTTAATGTTCTTGATGGATCCCTCACTTATAATGGTTCCTGTGTAAGGTAACCAAACAACAACGTTGCAGAGCTGAATAAAAACTCCATAAACACAGGCTGCCAGGTGAGACTACTTCCTGCCATTCAAGCTTTATTTTTATTAATGAACCAAAACAAGTGGGTTTTGCTTCTTCAAATGGTTGTATATAAAATAATGGGACTTACATTTTGCTATTGTGGAGTAGCTGCCTATGTAGTTGTAAGAATTTGACTCCCTCCTTTTCCAAGTTGTCACAGCAGCTGTCCCTGTATTTCATTAGATGTTCTTTCCCAATAGTCCAAGGAAGTGGGGCTTCATTATTAGAACTCATTGGTGTAAAATAATTTTAAAGACAGGCATGTGAAAAGATCAAAGCCTCCTCTTCAAAAGTTGCATCAATTTTATCAATTTTAGTGATTAGTTATAGGATGTAATGACCTCAAACACCATTACTTTTTTTTTTGTTCCCTACAAGAATCAGTCAGAGCTACAGACAGCTGTATTAGCTGGACAGATTCTTCCTCTAAATTAATTTGTTCTACCAGTTGAGTTCTTGACTTGTGGTATTGTATTACATGGAGCACTGATACAATACCAAGGAACCCGTGTGGTTTATTATGACTTATGAAAGGTAATTGGTCCCATGGTGTACAATAAACTACAGCTGCCTGGCTGAAGAATTTTCAGTGTCAGAGCTGAAACCTGTAACCAGTAAAAAAATAGAGAAGGAATACAACCAAAATACAAAATCACTGCTAAGAGTAAGCACCACTTCATTATTCATTGCAGACATATAAATGTAACAGTTGAGTAGGTTATTTAAAAATAACCAAGAACCACCCCCAAAACACAAGTGCATACTTTCACTCACACACCCACCAGTAGATTATTTCCTACTACTGCTCAGTCAGTGAACACTGAGCTAGATAGCTCTCAGTCTAATAGTATTTACATCCCATGGAGTCTGGAAAAATCCATTCTAGAGTCTGTCTCCTTTAAGCATGTTTAGAGGATTCTGGATTTCCTCCTCTTTGCTTTTTATTTTGTCCTCCAGTTTCTAGTCACCATTGGTGATTACTTGTCTTCCTCCTGTACAATTTATACATTGAGATTTCTGTAACAGAAAAGGTGATGTAAAGCAGAGCGTCATTATTCCTTAACATCTGAAGTCAAAACGAGGGTTACTTTAATCTATCTGCTTGAAAGCCCATTTTAATTTTGGTGGCATCTGACTGCTGGATTAAGCAGAGTTGAAGTATATTTTGAACAAGGTTGATTTGTGTCAGTGAATTTTAACTAAAGCAACACAAGCGTTGCCAGCACTTGGAGAGAGTTAATTGTGTTCATGACATGCTTGCTATTTAAAGGGTATATGAGGCTTTTAGCAGGTCCTCTCACAAGACAAGAGCTATATTCATCAGATTACTAGTCTCACCAGTATGTAATTCCCACTCAAATATTCCCTGCTCTCAAATCTCTCTCAAAATCTATTCATTGACTTCAAGCAAAGCTTGTTTTGTTCCACCTGCAGATCTCACCTACAAGGGAAACAGTGCTGCAATTGAGGTCAATTAGCCCTGCAAATCCTGAAGAGCCACTTTATGGTAGCCAGCAGTTCAGCTGAACAAACTTCATACTCATAGGGTACTGCCCTTTTAAAGATTTTATTTATCATCTTCAATGCAAGATGCCCATCATTGATTTTGCAGAACATGGCAGTGCTGTACCTTGCGGTGTTACTGTTCAGGGGTTTTTAGGCTTGCCAATCTTCATACTTATTCCATTTGAGCTATGAAATGTCTTCCTGGGGTAAAATGATGCTCAATGACTTTACAGGATGACTTGGGTGCTGAATTTTCAGCTGTCTAAATAGATATTTTATATGCATATTTAAATTCACTTACTTATGCGCTCAGTATTCAGTGAAAACTACCTGAGGAGTTTTGTACATGAAGTTGGAGGGGAGCATCCCTTGCAATAGTGGCCATTAAATTCATATATTTGGGGCAATAGCCCAAGATAATTTTTTCAAGATTGAAGCCCTGGGTTCTGCAATCCTCTGGCAAAGAAAGCATCCACTGTTTACAAATGGACTTTGCTTGCTTAAGGAAAGTAAAATCACATCCTTGACTTTTGTTGGAGTGACTGGAGTAAGCAGTGTTTCCCTACCAGTTCCTGAAATGCTGCAGTGTAACCAGCTTCAGTTGGCTCTTCGCACCTTGATAAGACTGCTGAGCACAACCTTGTTTGAGAATGGCACATTTTTATCCAAATATTAGATATTAAATGAAATCAGTGTTAAAGTGACCTTTTATCTTTCTAGAAGCTGGGGGGAAGAGTACTACTGATCTTTTTCAAAGTGCATGACTGTAAAGTGATAAAATTGTATATTTTTCATAATGTGGGGAAAGTCTATTTGTGCTGCTTTAGAAATCAGTTTAAAGTTTGATTTCTGTTAAACCTGTGATCTTACAGCCCTGCTATATTTTCTGTATATGATTTACAAAGAACTGGAAAAATTAGCACCTGCTGTTGTGTATATAGCAAAATTCTTTAGACCTTAGCACGCGTTTTTACCTATTATTGAACCACTCTGGCTTTTTTGGGGAAGGAAAGTAATAGTACAGTTTTTTTTGATAATGTGTGTAAAACATTCTTTTGAAATATTTTAGTAAAAATGAAGTAAGAGATTGATTGTGATAGTGTATACTTCTAGCTGAATAAAATAAAATACATTCTTTTTAAATAAACTGATGAGTAAGATTTGGGAGACCACTGCTGAAATACCTTGGAGTAAGTATCTTGGAGTAACCATAGCTATGACCTCTGAACTAATATGAAAAACCTGGAAATCCACTAAATTCAGAACCAATTTTATTTGGGTAGAGTGAACAAAGTAGTCCCATTTATAACTATGATGTACATCACAGTAGGCTGTTACATTCAGACTTTCACACTTAGAAAATATATATATTATGTACAGGAATTTGCAAATAGGTGTAAACATACAATATTTTAAGATACCAGTACATTCCAAACCAAAACTATCAGCAAGGCAAACACCTCAAAATTATTCCAGTCAGCTAGCATTCAGAATCTCTCTTAAATAAAGCAGCTTTTATGCTTGACATCGTGTTGGTTTACTTACTATTAAAAATGAAGTTTCTTATTATAGATCAAATATCATAGTATCTGGCTATTTTGATACTTAAAAATAGGCACTGATTTCTAGAAGGAAATTTTCTTCTTACTGATATAATTGAGCCAATATGGCTGGTTTTGCTAGTACAAAGTAATCCAGTGCTGGAATAAGTCACGACAATTTAAACTTAAGTCAAATGTATAAAGTTAGAATAGATACTGCAAAGCTGATTAAAATCTAGAAGCCTATATAACTCACCATAAACCATACTGCAAACAGATCAGCTAAATTTTCATTTAATCTCGTTTCTTCATCTAAATTATACAGATTACCCTCCTCTTCATCTTTACAATGTAGGTTTTGGCTATCTACTCCTGCCTAATCAACATAAAGGTATATTCGTGCAAATGACCTCATGCTATCTCATCCAGGTAGCACGTCCAAGTCCTGCTACAGGTGGCATACCAGGTGGTGGAATTGGAGGTGGTACAGGTGGCTGTCCACCTGGGGGAACAGTAGGAGGGGGGTAACTAGCTGGGGGCATTCCCAGCCCTGGAGGTGGATGAGGTGGCACTGCATGAGTTGGAGGCAGTCTTGGAGGTGGGAAATTGGGGTTGTATGTAGGTGGAGGAGGATATCCGGGAGTAGGAGGTGGAATATTGGGTGGGGGGAAAGAAGCAGGGGGGGGAGGTGGAACTGGTGGTGGAGGGTTGGGAGGGTAGACATGAGGATGATACGGTAGATGAGCTGGTGGTCCATAGGCCGGCGGTAAAGCTCCGTATGTTGGTCCTTCTGTCTTCATCATTGACTGGAGACTCTGATAACCCTCCCCTGACATGTAGGAATTTGTAGTAGACATCCCTGTAATGTAACTGGTGGGGGGTGGGGGTGGGGGACGATGTGGCAGAGGGGGAGGTTGATGCACTGGGGCAGGATGAGCAGGAGGAGGAATCTGGACCTTTGGCACATCTACTGAGTCCACAGTAGTAGATTGCTCTGGTTCTCCCATCGAAACCGCTGTTGTCAAAGGAGGCTTGCGCTCTGGAAAAGAAA